CTCTTTCTCATTGCGCAAATAAATTTAGTTTTCTAGGTTTCTCCGGACTCATATATTTGTATTTCAAAGTTCCTACTCAGCTCTAATTTTTTCATCTAGAAATGCTTGAAAGTTTTCTATCCTAATAAATGCCCAATTTTTCCCCATAGGATTATACAGAGCTTCACCTAGGGTAAGTTATTTTTAGTTGTAAACTGATATCATTTGCTTTTTGGAATAGTGTATTTCAAGATCTCTTGTTTTGACCAGAAGCTGGCAGGTCTTTATAGTTCCTTGGTATTTTTAACTGCTTCTTTCAGGATGTTTGTACTATTTTTTCTTGGATATTGGAAGCTCTGGATTTTGGGTATAACATCACTGGGACTTTTTCTTTTGGGATTCCTTTCAGGAAGTAAGAAGTGGATCTCTTTACTTTGCCCTCTGGTTCTAATAGATTTTTTTTTTAATCATGGTTTTCAGGGAATATAATGACTGTTAAATTCTCTTTCCTTGACTTGTTTTCTAAGTAGGTCATTTTTTGCATAAGCAATCTTACATTGTCTTCTATTTTTTCAGTCTTTTGATTTTGTTCCAATATTTCTGCTGTCTATGTCATAGAGTCACTGATTTGTATTTGAGCTACTCTAGTTTTTAAAGTCTACTTCTTGGGTAAGGTTTCCCACTTTCTCTTCTAAGCTCCTTCTTTTCCTTCCAATTCTTTCCTCAAAAGTTTTTATTCCATTTTTAAAATTCTTGCTTCATTTTCTCTAAGTATTCATTCAGTCCTTTTGGAAAATGCTTTTTTCCTTTGAGTCCTTGATTGAAATTGTTATGGATTTAGATTTGCAATAATTTTCGTTACCTTCTTTGATTTACTCATCTCCTCAGCTTTAGTTCCTGCATTGGGATTTTGTGCCAGGGTCAGGTTCTATTCCCTATTGCATTTTGGGGTGGGGTGGTCAATCCTGCTTGGTTTTACCCTGGATCTCCTGAGTTCTTGCATTGACCTCTATACCTTCTACAGTTTAGTCCTCCTGGATCTTTGAGGTTTGGAGCCCTGAGTCTTTCGGGCTCTTACTCTGACATCTCGGGATCAGAGTGTTAGGGACCTTAGCTGCCTTGGGCCTAAGATGTCCTGGTGTGAGAAGTATGGCACCATGTCAGTCAGCACTATACCGGTCACCAGGACTTTCACAACCCCCTTCCTGGGACTTTCTAATCAACCTGGAGCTTTATTAGGGGAGCCCACTGCTCTTGCTATCTCCAGACACAGAACCTTGCAATTTATAGGTATACAACATCTGGTCACAGTGGTGCTCATTTTGCTAGAGGGATTCTCTTTCCCAAAGCCTATGGGCTTCTGACTTTTTCTATAGTTCTAGAATGGAAGAAGTCACTTAACAGTAATTTCTCACTGCACTTTGTCATCATCACATGGTCTGGTACAAACTTCAGTTGTAAGTATGTGGGAACAAGATGGTCAATCTCCCGGTTAGGGCAGCCATCTTGGCCAGAAGTCCCCATTTCATTTTTAGAGAATTCAAATTATAAAGAAGCTTTTCCTCATATCAAGATGAAATATATTTTTCTGTAACTTCTACCCATACATAATTCCTAGTTCTATCTTTCTGGGGCTTTGTTAAATAAGTTATTAAATAAGTCTGCTTTCACATAACATCAAAGATTTCAAGCTAGCAGAGACCTTAAAGTTTATTTTTTCCAACACATTTATTTTTAGATGAGGAAATAGAAAATCAGAGAGTTGAGAAACTTGCCCAAGGTCATAGCAAGTGACCTTGGCAGCAAGTAGCAGATACAGGATTAGAACCCAGTCTTTAGACTTCAAATCAATTGGGCTTTTTAATGTGCCACATACAGCCATTATATATCCCCCACCCCAACAAGTCTTCCCTTCTCTAACCTAAACATGATGGCTTCCTTCACTGATGCTCATGTGGTATACCTTCTGGATCTCTCTCTATCCTCTACACACATTCAAGCTTACCAATATTCTTTCTAAAATGTGATGCCTGGAATTGGACTCAATAATCAAGATGTGGTCTCACCAGCAGTGAATTCTGTGGAACAATCACCTTTCTCATTCTGCACATTGTTACTTCTATTAATAAGGGAGGGGAGATGGGGAAGGAGAAGAGGGAAGAGAATAAGCATTCATAGAGTGCCTCCTACTTGCCAGGCACTGTGCATAAATATCCCATCTGACCCCACAACAATTCTATGAGGTGGGCATCATTATTACTTCCATTTTACAGCTGAGGAAACTGAGGCAAACAGAGGTTAAATGATTTGCCCAGGGTTCAAACAGCTAGTGTCTGGGGCCAAACTTGACCTCAGGTCTTTCTAACTCCAGGCTCAACTCTCCAACCACTGTGCCACCTAACTACCTATTAATGCAGGGATACATCCACTTCTTTTTCTCTTCTAGGCTAAGCTGAACAAGTCTAATTCCTCTTTCACCTACTCGAAGACAGCTACCGTATTCACCACTCCACCCTGCCCCAAGTCTTCCATTCTTCGAAGTAAATGAACCCAGTTCTTTCAACTGATGCTCATTCTCTACAGCTCACTGCAGAACGCAAGGCATGGCAGAGAGTAACAGAATACAAGACTGAGCAAGAGAAAACAGTGAGACCAGAGCTCAAACTCACCAGACACATCTGGTATTCAAAGCGTTTCCGAGCTTCGTCATTGGGTTTCCTTTTTCGGAAGAAGAGAGGCATCCTTCTCTTTCCACCAGAAGTAGGCACTGGATCTCTAGGAAACAATTAGAGAAACCAGTAACACAGAAGAACATATTTGGCTATTTCTGGTGCCTGAGAACCATCTATCTATCTCCGTTGTTTCACTGGATAGAACTGCCAAACAATAACTTCAAGGATCCGGAAACTCATCACAGTAGGATTCTGAAATCAGATTAACAAATATTAAGGAACTACTATGTGTATGGACCCTCAAGCTCATATGCAAAGAGCTCATCGTCCTGTGACCAGTGGCCAATAGGGGGTCTTGTACGTAACGTGTTTATGACGACAGTGACCACCGGTGGAACCACCAAGAAACATAAGAAACCAGTTTAGCTAAGTGTGGCCAGGCTCAGTACCAGGTTGGCCAGGTAATTAATTTTTTGGCCAAAAAAAAAAAAACCTTCAGGAAAACTGTCTGCTAAGGATATGAGTATTGCAATCTATGTCAGTAGAGGGACCGTCCTCACTGCAAAGATTATGGATCCTTGAAGTTGAAGACAACATGACAACGATGTATTACACTGGTTCATTTATTCATGAGTTCAACAAATATTTATTATCTACTGTGTGTAAACTACTCTGTGACATACCAAAATGAAGAGTAAAAGTGCCCAAGTTCTCTAATAAGGTTGAATTAGATGATCTCCGAGGTCCCTTTCAGTTCTGTCGTTGTTGATTTAGGGTTTTCTCAGCAAAGATTTTTTCCTGGCAAAGAATGGTCTGCCATTTCCTTCTCCAGCTCATTTTACAGATGAAGAAACTGAGGCAAACAGGGTTAAATGACTTGCCCAGGGTCACACAGCTAAGTGAGGCCAGTCTTTCTGAAGCATGCCCTGCTCTATCCACTTTGCCATCTGGGTGCTGCTGCCAACACCACCCCTACAATCTGTGTTAAGGACCTGACTGAAAACTCTGATCTTATTCATAATTTAAACCTCCCCTACTCCTCATTTAATCAATCACTCAGTAAACATTTATTAAACACTTTCTATGTGCCAGGCACTGAACTAAGTACTGGGGATACAGAAAGGGGCAAAAGACAGTCTTGCCCTGCAGGGCTCACAATCTAATGGGGGAGACAACAAACAAAGCTATACAAACAAGTTACACACAGGAATACGTGTTCTAGATAAGAATAAATAATAAAGAGGGGAAGAAGGATTGGGAAAGGCTTCCTGTTGAAGGTGAGACTTTAGCTGAGCTTTGAAGGAAGCCAGGAGGCAGACACGAGGAGGGAGGGCATTCCAGGCTTGGGGGACAGCCAGACCCCCCCTCCAGGGAGAGACTGTCTTGTTCCCGTTCATTTAGCCTCAAGAGGTACCCGGAAAGCCACGTTCCCTTGTGGCAACAGGCTAGCCTGGATGGACGCGGTCTTAAGAGGACATGTCACAATTACAGATTCAGAAGGTCAGAGCTCTACTGAAGGAACAGAGACCATCTTATCTTGCACATGAAGGAAATGATTTGCCCAAAGTCAAAGGATGAGTTAGTAGTAAAGGTGGAATGAAAACTCCGGTTTCCTGACTCCCGGGCCTGCATCACCCGTGTCTGTTTATAAGGGTAGGAAATAAAGATTAATGCTGCTGAATACCCCTGACAGCCACACCTAGGGATGGTTGGAGACAAGTGGACAGGCTGGGTAGGGACGAGGAGAAAGGTCCACGATCTGGGTTCCCCTGAGCAGCCACAGCCTTGCTAGCCCGGCCCATGAAAGCACTCTCCGGTGCGGGGACGGAGCGTGACTGCTGGGTGTCTGGGTTGGCTGGGGGAGAAGGGAGGACCCCAGAACTGAGGAGGGGAAGAGGTTCCCTTAGTGCAGGGAGTGGGTGCGGAACCCATTGCTGGAGGGGCTGGGGGTCCGGCGGGGGCAGAAGCCGGAGACACCAGGGCTCGGAAGAGTGCAATGACCGCCCCACCAAAGCCCCCCGCCCAGCCAACCAAAAAGGGGAAAGGGGTGTAGCCGAAACTCAGATCTTAGAACCTCCGCCGTACAGGAAAACGAGACTCCCAGATAAGAGCGGGGACAAGATCTCGGGGAGCTGTGACTCCGGGGACTGAGGGGTGGGGAAGGGTCGATCCCCGCCTCCCCTCCTACCCCGCCAGATGCAGCAGCTACAGCTCACCGCGATCGCCGGCTTCCCAGCCACCAGCTCCCGCCCACAAGCAACATGGCTTCCAGAGCGTCAACGGCAATGCTACGGAAGTTCTCGCGAGACTTGGATCTTCCTATATCCGGCGGGACTCGGATTTCTTCCGGCCTTTTGGCTTCCAGCTCGTGGTGGTGAAGGTGCAACTTCTTTCGGTCGTCCCGAATCCGGGTTCATCCGACACCAGCAGCCACCCCGCAGCATCCAGGCCAAGCCTCTACCTTCGCTGCCGCCATGCCTCCCAAGTTTGACCCTAATGAAATTAAAGTCGGTGCGTCTCAGGGCCTGGGAGGGAATGGGAGAACCGGGGCCTACTTCTCTCGCCAAGTCTATCCCCAGCCTCCCGCCGCGCGTGCGCCCGGCTCTCCTTGTGTTCCGGTCAGCTTCCACCCCTGGGCCCAGCAGGTTCCGAGCCCCTCAGCCTTCCTTCCCCATGTGACGCTCCAGGTCTGTGGGATCCCCTTCCCTTTTCCCCCACCTCCGTCCTCTCCTAACATGAGCCTCCCCGAGCTCGAGTAATGAGGGTCAAGGTCCTGGGTTGCCTTCTCTAGGGGCGTTGCCTTTTAAAAAGGGGGGGTGGGGGAGAATTAGTCCGGGTTTCTAAAACCACACCTGGAGTGGACCAGAATGGTGGTGTGGGGCCTCCTTACATATATTTAGATACTAGTCCAGTTATTTTAACGTAAAGGCCCTTGAGTTCCAGCTTGGATGCTAGATCTCGAGCTGAAAGAGACCTCGGAGATTGCCTCATCCTTTTTTTAAAAAGATAGAATAAGCAAATATTTGGTAAGCACTGAAGATAGACAAATGGAGTAGTCCTCGTCTTTAAAGACCTTTACGTTGTGAGGAAAGTACTTTCTAAATCTCCAAGTGTGGTGAATTCTAACAGTGTTTATCAGATTGTGATCTCTGTTGTAGCTGGGATTCTGCCTTAAATTCTATGAAGTGCTCTGTGTCTGGTATGCAATTAATAAATGCTTTCTGAGCTTCACAGGGTGCGAGTCCAGGTTGTAGCGTTGTTTGTGTATCATCAGTATGCCTAAGGTTTGCAGCTATCATTCAGTGTTGTCACCCAGGCTATAAATTACCCCATGGAAGATAATCTAGAATGTGAAATCCACAAGAGTGATATTCTAAAGGCCAACCAATCTAGACCTTTGATTTTGCAGAGGAAAAGGCCTAGAGTAAGAAACTTGCTCCTTTATGGTAACGCTGCTAGTGCCAGGAGCAAAGCTCAATCAGATGTCCTACATCCAACATGCTTTTATTGTTTCCGTCTTGATTTTTTTGTATTTTTCCTACAAAAGCACAGCAGAAAATAAGAGTGTGTTAATCTTTGTTTTTTCCTAGTGTTTTTAAGGTGCACTGGTGGTGAAGTTGGTGCCACATCAGCTCTGGCCCCCAAAATTGGCCCCTTGGGTTTGGTAAGTCTTTGTAAGGGTATTTTGTATTGGGTACAGAAGTTTTTTCATAGTTTGCTGATAGTAGTTATAGACTGCATCTGATTTTAGTGTCTCAAAAGCACTTTCATTTGTAAGAGACTGAAGCAAAGTAAATTAATTACTGGGAATCTTCTTTCTTATTTCTCTAAAGCATTTAATCAAAATTTAGAGGTATTGAGAAATGATTAGGAAAATTTGTGACAGTGAGGGAATAAATTATTTTGTTATAAAGAGTCTTCAGGAATTGCTTGTTCATTTAATAGCTATTTACATGGAAAAATTGAGGGTGCGGTATGTAGCAAGTGTTGTGGGACAATATAATCACTTTTTTCTTCTTTTTTTTACTTTAGTCTCCCAAAAAGGTTGGTGATGACATTGCCAAAGCTACTGGTGATTGGAAAGGGCTAAGGATCACAGTGAAACTTACCATTCAGAATAGACAGGCCCAGGTAATTATTTTGCTAGTAATTTTATCTTGTTAATATTGAAATTTGGGCTACTGAACACTGTAAAGGATATAAAGATTCACAAATGAACTACAAGCCCCAGTCCTGAAGGATAATGGGTAGTTTAGTGAACTAAAACTTAATGTGATGGCAGCCAAAAAAGTAATACTCTCTTGGACTCACTTTGGAGAGGCTTAACTTTTAGGTTTGGAGAGATGAGAGTCCCGTAGGCCCCATTCTAACCACATCTGAATCACTGCTTAAAGGCAAAATTGTCTCTCTTTTCAAGTAACGAAAATATTGGAAGAATACATGGACATAAATGACAGGACCAGGGTCCAGAAAGAATTTGACTGGCTAGGTGTTTGAAGAACTGAGTAAGGTGAAATTAAATGGAAATGGGACTCGATGTAAAGTCTAGCACTTGGTTTTGTTTTTTTTTTAATCTAAGTCTTAGGCTTTAGCTCATTTTTCTGTTAAATGAAACTTCACAAGTTCAAGATGGGAGGTAGTCTGAAGAATAATTTGGGTTTTTAGTCAACTGTAACATTGCAGCCCAAAAAAAATAGTGAATGCCATCCTGGGCTGCATCCAGGACTGTGGAGATGATAGTTCTAATGATTATCCTTTGCTTTGACTAGACTCACTCTGGTATGTTGTGGTCAGTTGGGCCTGCGACTAAGATAGTAAGCTAACAAAGTTGTCAGAAAGTCATAGGTTTCCACTCACTATGGCTGTTTTAGCAAAATCTGGGTGATCGTTTACTACACGTAGTGGAGAGCTTTGTTCCGCTGTGCCTTGGCCTGGTACTCTTGGGTTCCTTCTGTTTCTGGTAGTGTATGTGAATGAGGTGGGCCTGCATAGTGTATTGAAGAGAATCAAGAAATCTTTGAATTTAAGTCCGGCTAGCTGAGGTGAGTTGTTTAACTTCGGAACTTGATTTAATGGACTCTTTGTAACCTTAAAACTTGATAGAGGCATGAGTTAGGATTCCTTCGTTGGTTTTTTGGAAGTGATGGCTTTGTTAGGCAAGAGGCACCTGATTCCATGTGGAGACTTAAATTTAGGCTTGCCCAGGAGCACTGTACTGACTGATGACAGGTATGGGAAAGTACATTTGGGAGAATAACTTGAGTATGTCTTTCTTTAGATTGAGGTTGTGCCTTCTGCTTCAGCCTTGATCATCAAAGCCCTAAAGGAACCTCCTCGGGACAGAAAGAAGCAGAAAAATAGTAAGTTGCTTTTCTTGAGAAAATTGAAGATGTTCCCTATGTGTGGGATTTGCTTTTTGTCTTTAGCCACCCGCCACTGCATCTGGTTCCAGTGTTATATTGGCTGGTGCAGTCCAGTGGTGAGCTAAGAGAAAAACCCAGCTTAGGAAACAGGGTTATTCTGCTTGTGGGTGACTCTGTGCTGAAAGCTTGGGAACAACTGGTTAGAGGGTCTAACTAAGGATTCATGTCACCTTTGCTGAGTGTGATATGAGAATTAACTGAGTCTTGTGTGTTTTGTGTAGTTAAACACAATGGAAACATCACTTTCGATGAAATTATCAGCATTGCTCGACAGATGAGACACCGATCCTTGGCGAGAGAACTTTCTGGTAAGAAAGAACCATGTAGTTATATAGAAACATGCCTTGAGTGTTGGAGCATACACAGTGTGATGTTAGGTACTGTGAAGAATTAAGATGCACATGACGGATTTTTTAAATTAAGGCAGTGCTTTGGGTTTTGCAGCAGAAGTCTAATAAAATAATATAGGGAAGCAAAGGCTGGCCTCTGTACTTGTGTGAATGTTTGCCTTCAGCCACCCGCCACTGCACCTGATTTCCAGTATTATGTTGGCTGGTGCAATCCAGTGGTAAGCTGAGAGGAAAAACCCAGCTTAGGAAACAGGGTTATTCTGCATGTGGGTGACTCTGTGCCGAAAGCTTGGGAACATGGAGGAACATGGAGCAGCAAGAAATCGTGTCCACTCTGGGCTTCAGAACATAGCCCAGCTTTGTCAAGTATTGGGTATGGATTTATTAGAACATTGTTAAAGGATGGTTTGTAAATGTCTAGAAATGGAAGCAGTGATCTGAGTGTGTTTAAGGGGTGAAGTTCTGGCTGACAGGGTCTTAAATTAAGTAAATTTGAAGACTAAAGTGGACAAAGACCGTTTTTTAAATGTTTATTTGTAATACATGATACACTGTTAGTGATTAATAATTTAAGGCGAGAAGTCAAGAGAGCTGTTCAAGCCTGTTTTCCCTGCAGAACAAGATTGAGTGAATTGCAGGCACTGAGAGCTTAATGTCTTATTTTCTGCTTTTATAACAGGAACCATTAAAGAGATACTTGGAACAGCCCAGTCTGTGGGCTGCAACATTGATGGCAGGCATCCTCATGATGTCATTGATGACATCAATAGTGGTGCTGTGGAATGCCCAGCTGTAAGTATTAATTTAGCTCCTTAATGATATTTTAATATTGTTGGGGACACATTTACTATAAAACTGATGATATTTCTCTTTCCACAGAATTAAAAGCTACAAAGGAGACTTGCAATAAATTAACATTTGACAACAGACAGAGGCTCTTCGTTTTTCAGTGTGGAAAATTTTTGTGTCAGAAGCTACCACGAATTCTGGAAAATAACTTAACTTAATTTCATTAGCCCTTTTACTCTGCAATAACTTTCAGCTACTTTGCAGTTCATTTGGAGGAGGGAGGGTAGTGTTAGAAAAGCAGGGAAGTTGTTCAAACTTAGCAGGGGGGCTATCAATTGAGAGAAAACTGGTTGGGCAAGCCAAATTTGCCCCAGCAGTGAGCAAAGTTTGTCGTCTTTGCAGACTAATAGGAAAGAGTGTACCTGTTTGCCTTAAAAACCTTGAATGTGGGGTATTTTGGGGTTGAAGAGCCCCTCAGTACAAAGTCAGGACAGTTCAGTTAATGACAGTAATAGCTGGGACTCAGGAATCAAGAAATGGAGGAGAGATTCTAAAGGAATAATAACCTTTGGCTCGAGATTTTTGCACAAATAGTATGTGTGTATTCTAAGTTAATTGTACACGATCAGCAATGCATAAACGTTTTGTATTCCTTTGTGTCCAGAGTGAGTATTGTTGTGCGGTGCCTTACAAGTAGAACTTGGGTGTCAGGATATGCTGGCTTGGAAGGTGGCTGGGTCCAGATGGTGTTTTATGTACTGTTTCAGTGAACTGTATTGAGAAATGTGCAAGAATCTAGATGTGGCTGAGCCTCTATAAAACCTTAGTCTTGGTGACACCTGAAGTTATTTCTATTCTCCGTTGGAGGACTTTGTAGGGAAAGAAATGTCTGGCTTAAAGCCTAAAAATTGGCTCCCATTTCCCATGAGCTTCAGTGATAAGAGTTTAGCATGGCCTTTTAAAGCTGGAATAGATTTTAAAGATAATTTGATTCAGATGTCACAGGGCACTGGGAGGAACTTTAAACCTTATCTGCTTGAACCCTTTCATTTCATACATGAGAAACCTGAGATGTGCCCATGGCATCTTAATTCATGAAAGGGTATTTCTGGAGAAAAAAAATTTGATTTGGCTCTGTTCACAACATTTATTTATATGAAGAGCAAAATGTTAGTAATGAAGCCTACCTGACATGGCAATTTCAGAAATAACCACAGGGTGGCAGCGCCTGCTCATATCCTTTGCCTTTTGCCACAGTTATCAATGATGTAGGATTACTTGTGGTTGCTGGGGAGTTGAAACAACTGAGTGTAGCATTCTCAGCAGGCATACTTCAGAATTGTCAGTGTGCCTGAACCTTCCAAAGCAGCAGAAATAAGTGTAGGGGCAGTTGGGGGATTAGAAGCTAGTGACATAGATTGGTGTGTCTTCACTGCTATAGGCACCGGTTAACCCCTTTGCTGAGTTTGGTTGATGATTGCAGGCCATATGAGGATCTTTTTTTCGTAGTACCCACTTGGTAAGTAGAATAGGGCACTTATGGTTGCCTTCTGACTCCTGGGCCACTGAAGGAAGAGAGATGTTTCCCTACCTGGAGTTGGTAGATTGTAGGAGGAAGAGCTGAGAGCTGTGTGGGCTCTTGCCACTAAAGAGAAGAAGCTGAGGAGGAGTTTAAGTCATTTGATGTATCACATTTATGCCCTCAAAACTTGACCCTTGTCTTTAGTCCTACACTCTAGTACAAGTAGAATAGACTGAATTGTTGATTTTTCTTATGCTTGAAAAACAGTTCTTAGAAGTCCCTGCCACCATTTAACTCATGTTTAAGCCATGCATCCCACTGTACAGGTTAGCTTTTCATCCTTTGTTTTGTAGTAGATGTGTATTGAAATGGACTCCTTTGGTCATCTGACCCAATCCCTCCTGTTATAGAACAGGAAATAATTCTAGGGAGTTGTTAAACCTCAAAGGCAAGGTTTTACCTAACCCCAAGGTTCTCAGATTTCAGAAAGTGGTTGTGTTAGCTTTGCAGTTGTGACCAACGTTATTTCCTCAGAAAACACCAAAAATAGAGCAACTTAACAGGTATGACAAATGAGGTTGAATAAACATTTTTCAGAGGAGATAGTGGATGAATGATCTTGTAAACTTTAGTTGAACCCTTGTTAAATTTCATGATTTGTGTACTGATATTCCTGGATCCCAGTTCTTTCAAACAATGTGTTAACTCTTCCCACCTATCCTCATCTTTATATCTATAAATTTGATAAGCACGTCTGTTTTTTTTCCATCCATGTAACTGGTTTTGTAAAAGATTGAATGGTGCAGAACCAGGTAAAGATCCAGAGTGCTCCACTACATACCTCCAAGTCTTATCACAGATTACCCTGGGTCTGATGATTCAGCTAATTTTGAATCTAGCTAACTTCATCTAGCCACATCTCCATCCTGTCCATAATGGTAACTCTGCTAAAATTTAGACACACTCTGTCTGTAGTGTGCGTTTCTCATCTAAGGAAATAACTGTCCAAAAAAGATTTAATTGAGCAATTTTTAAGTGACTAGCATGGGTCAGACACTACAATAGATGTTGGGGATGGACACAAAATAGTCCCTGTTCTCAGAACTTATATTCTACTGGGGAAGAGACGATATGTGGTTCTAAGTATATATGAGATGGATAACCATGTGGAGGGGCTGTGACATCTGGGGAAATCAAGTCTTCTGTTTCATTGAATTACCCATTTTTTTCCTCTGAAGAATTATACTGAGTTTTGCTGGATAGGTGATTCTTGGTTTTAATCCTAGCTCCTTTGACTCCCAGAATATCATATTCCAAGCCCTCTGGTCCCTTAATGTAGAAGCTGCTAAATCTTGTGTTATACTGATTGTGTTTCCGCAGTACTTAAATTGTTTCTTTCTGGCTGTTTGCAATATTTTCTCTTTGACCAGGGAACTCTGGAATTTGGTTACAATATTCCTAGGAGTTTTCCTTTGGGGATCTCTTTCAGAAGGTCTGGGACTGATAGGTTTCTTGGAGGCTTTGACTTTGTTGTCGTCTTCTGGTTGTATGTTTTGATCTTTGTCACCAAAGAAAGATTCTATGGTCTGGATTGTGAAGGACTTTAAAAGACAGGTGCTTATATGAAGCAGGAAAACTAATTAAAAGGCTCTTGTCTAGGAGAGGTGATGGTATGGATTTAGAATGGGGAACATACGAGAGATGTGGAGATAAAAGTCAGACTTGGAAACTGATCATATGAATGTTCCTAAGCAATAGGAAGGTTAGAAGAAAGAAGGGAATTGGAGATGTCCCAAGAGTTACTGTTGCTGAAACTGCTGCCTAAAGAAGTATGGGAAATAGGGAGAAGGAAAGGTAAGAGGATGCATAGAGTGCTCCTATAGAAATAGTGTAGAAACTGGAAAGCTTTTGTTTGGGGGGGCAATAAGTTATATAGGAGGAAAGAGGAAAGTTTGGACTGATCCCTGAGGTGGGGAACACCCAGCTGCTTTTGATGAGTTACCAGGTGCAGATAAACTATATCCCAAAGTACTGAAAGCTGGTGATAAGATTGGGAACCACTATTGGAAACAATACTTCACAATCTCCATGCCTTTTCATTTGTTTCTTATCACCTAGAATGTTCTCCCTCCTCTTTTTTCAAGGTAGCTGAAGTATGACCTTTTGCACAAGAACGTTCCTAATCCCCACCCCAACTACTCACAGTTACCTTGTACTTTTGTGTGCATATATGTGAGTGTATATATACATGCATGCATATATGTGTGTCTGGCTAGCTGTATTGTCTCCCCAATTAAAATATAAGGCCCTTGAGGATGGGCTGTTTCATTTTTGTCTTTCTGTTCCTTGTCCTTAGGCACAGTGCCCTGCACATATTTGTTCATTTTCAGTCATATCTGCCTCTTCATGACCTCATTTGGGGTTTTCTTGGCAGAGATAGTGAAGTAGTTTGCCGTTCCCTTCTCCAGCTTATTTTATAGATGAGGAAACTGAGGCAAATGGGGTTAAGATACCTAAGGTCATACAGCTAGGAAGTGTGAAGCCACATTTAAACTAATGAAGATGAGTTTTCCTGACTGTAGGCCTGGCACTCTATCCACCTAGTTGCTCTGCCTGGCACATAGTAAGTAACTTTTTTCATTCATCCATTCATTCCCTGTGGAGAGCAAGAGAGGAAGGGGTTAGAGAACTAGAGAAGGGCAAATGTCTCAATTTTTTAAAAAAGGGAAAAGTGTTTAAGCTATGGCCCAGTGAACTTGATTTTGACAACTGATGTTACAATGGGAAAATTCAACAATAAAGCATGAAAAATTAAGTTGGAAAATATTTCTGTAAGGAAGCAGTGATTATGGCATAGCTTTAGCAAGAACAAGTCCTGCCAGACTAAGTACTCCTTTTTTTGACAAGAGTTAGTAAGCTGGTAGATTGGGGGAATGCTGAAGATAGGTAGAGTTGACTGAGATATGAGCAGACCATTTGATAAAGAATCTTATACTATTCTTGTGGAACACGTGAGATGTGTACTAGATGATAATACAATTATGTGTGTTTGGAATTGGTTGAAAGGCCAGACCTTAAGGGTGCCTGATAACAACTTAGCTAGAGGTCCCCATTGGAGTGCCCCATGTTGCTTAATGTGTTTATCAGTGACTTGTATGAAGGCCTAAATGGCATTCTATGACATTGTAGATGGCACAAAGTTAAGGATAGCTAACACCCTGGATAACAGGATCCATCCAAAAAGATCTTGATGCGCTAAAACATTAGTCTGGATCTTTTGTTATTATTGTGTGTTTTTTAAGTCATATCTAACTCTTTGTGACTCCATTTATGGTTTTCTTGGCAAGAGATGATAGAGTGGTTTGCCATTTCTTTCCCCAGCTCAAACTGAGGCCAATGGGATTCAGTGACTTGCCCAGGGTCACACAGCTAGTAAGTGTCTGAGGCCAGATGTGAACTCAGGAAGATTGTTTTTCAGAGATGTGAAGATAAGCATATAAAAATAATATAATTGTCTTTCTACTTAAGTAATAATACACAATTTAAGTTGTAACAATATGGTTATTAAGTTGTATGTTATGTGAATATAGCTAATTGAATAATGGCTAATTTTGTTACCCTCATCTATTTTTGCTATCTTTCTGTTTAAGGAAGGGCATGGATACATGAAGCAAGTATTCTCTAATTATACCATATTTGAAGGACCTAATTGTTGTATTAGGACAGCTAGGTGGCACAGTGCAATGGAGTGCAAGCCTGGAATCTGGGAAACTCAACTTCCTGAGTTCAAATCTGGCCTCAGACACTTACCAGCTGTGTGATCCTGGGCAAGTCACTTAACCCTATTTGCCTCAGTTTTCTCATCTGTAAAATGATCTGGCGAAAGAAATCACAAACCACCCCAGTATCTTTGCTGAGAAAACCCATCAAGAGTCATACACAACTGAAAAATGACTGAACAACAACAAATGTTAACGGATTTTTTTCATACTCTTTTCCATTACAAAATAAAATGTGCTGCATTTGAAAAAAATAAAAAGCCTTTGTAACATGTATAATTAAGCAAAACATTCTTGCATGTCCAAATTATATGTCTCAGTCTTCACTCTGAGTCTGTTAACTGTCTGGGG